GTAATGATTTCATGCTGTAGCAAACGTGATGCAGCTGATGATGGAGGTTGAGGAACCATTATTGACATTTGAAAGAATTAAAGTAAAATAAACTCCATTTTGTAAAACAACAGGACTGCTTTCACTCAACAGTAATTTAAAAATCCTTTCGTAAGAAAGAGTAGTCAGAATGAATTATTATCAAGTACGGCTTCACTTCATCTGCAAAACTCTATTCATCTGATGGGGTTAGTCCGCTATATTTCTGGATTACTTGTGTGATACCACGATGTCAAGTAGCGTAATGATAAATTCGCACTTTCCCATGCCCTCATGGTGAACATTGCGTATCAAATCTAGTGCAACATATGATTTGGGTGCAATCTCCCAAATATTTGATTCAGATATGTTTCAAACAGCGCTCTCTCAGATCTGAAAAGGTTCCATTACAGGCTTCTTCATGGTAGCGCAGAGACAGCAGCCAGTCATTCATAGCTCGGCGTACCTGCTCAGTGAATATCAGTATTCACGAATAGCTAAACTGGTCATCCAGCAGGCATTATCTGTTCCACAGAACAGTATCGCTGCTGCTTGTGTGGAGCTGCACCCACCATCACCTGAATTCTCGTGCTGCAGTGCTTGTAGTTGATACACGCTCCAGAATATAAAAGGTAAAGAGGGTACCATCCTGGTCTCCGCGATAAAGTTCCTCAACCCATCTCAATCCACAACAACCCATCCGAACTGTTGGGGGCAACAACCCATCTCAGAACCATTCCAATGACTACGACTAGGCGTACGACTCGCGCAAAGCGCAATATTGCACAAGCGAGTAGCTCGAGGCATGGTGAACCGCTACATACCCCTGAGTCCCGCACTGTAGCTCCCCCACGCACATCACCGCGTAGTACTGCTCGGGACTCGCAAAGCACCCCACTACGAAGCGGGAAGCGTCGCGTGCAGCTCGCGACGCCAACCACTCTACATACCCTTGAGTCCCGCCCTGTGAATCCCCAACAAACGGCAAGGAGCAGTCGTAAACGAGGTTGCCCGCCAACAGATCCCTCACCCACTGCTCAGAACTCGCAAAGCTCAGGATTGCGAGACGGGAAGCGTGGCGCCCTTTCTGCGACGCCAGCAACTTCACACACACCACTCTTAACGCCGCCAGACACAACGCAACTTTTTAATGTTCCCATCCGACACACCTCACCATGTCCCCCGGATTCTACCATGCGAAATCAACCCAGCCCGACCACAGCGATACGACGATCGCCCCAAAGGCGGACATCAAGTGTTTCGCTGGCTTCCGGTACAGTGCAGCGTAAAGTGTGGAGCATCCGCTCATTGGTAATTGCAGCCTGACGGATAGCTGCGGAACCCAAAGTAGCTCCAGCTACCCCAAATGCAGCAGAATCTACACCACCCGAACTGCAAGAAGAAGATGCTCTAGCTACGCCAAATGCCGCAGAATATCGAACACTGGAACATGAAGATGAGTTGTCTAAACCTAGTAGTGACGCTGAGTACCATCCCCCTCCGCCCTCTAACACTCGAACGAAAAATGGACCCCTATCGCAACGAAGTCCGGCCAGTCGCAGTGTTGCGAACAGCGAGACATCACCTTTGAAAAAGAGAGTATACACGTACAAGAGTCGCCGTGGCGGCAAGGGTGTGGAGTGTTTGTTACTTAAACGACGCCGTGCCTACGCTGATGCCTTCCAAAACATGGAGGTGGATAAGTTAAGACGTTGTATCCATCGCCGCTGTTTTTGCAAAACAGACGCTCGATACGTCAAGGCTCAAGTGCAACATGTATCTTTGCTGAATAGGGCGGGGAGACGAGCTTATCTGGAGTGCTTGTTGGAAAATAACTCAGGGATGTTTTTCTTCGATGGAAAGGCGGTGTGTTATAAGTTTCTTGAGAAGTCCCTGCAGTTTTCTAGGGATTTCCAGGGCTCTGTTAAAGGCACACCGTTTAGCAAGAGGAGGTCTTCCTTGACTTCTACTGTAAGAAACTCAGAAGCTAATCAACGGGACGCAGTCATATGCTTCCTTGAACGTCTTTCAGAAAGCACAGCCGACCATATGCCCAACCGAAACGAACAGCACTTGCCCTATTTCCAAAAAGCCCAGGTCCTCGACATCTTCCTCTCTGATTTCAGTCGCCTCCACTCGCGCGCCCCAACCACGCGAAGCTATTTTTACGAGAGATGGCAAAAGCACGTGCCCAACATCAAAGTGCGGAGGGGCATTGGTTCACAGTGTGTTCCGAATGCGATCTCATCAGAGACCTGCTCTCCAAAGCCAGTACCGATGAGTCAGCAACTCGGTTACTTCGTGAGCGAAAAACCACTCACAACGATATGGTTGCAGCGGATCGGCGCGAGTTCCAGAAGAAGTGTGATAAAGCAGGACTGTATCCTGTTAAGTATTGCTCTATCATTCTAGATGGTGCAGACCAGTCCGCCCTCGGTTTGCCGCATTTTCTCTTTAATACCAAGCACACAAAGGGGCGCAGTATCAAAGTCAAGCTAATTGGAGTGCTTGAACATGGTCCCGTGAAACATCTGTCCCTGTTCACTATGACAGATGAATATGAGACAGGCGCGAATCACGAATTAGAACCTCTTCATCGGACCCTGATGGTAAAGGCTGAGAAGGGCCCACTCCCGGACACCCTGTTCGTGCAGGTGGACAATTGCACTCGCGAAAATAAGAACAGATACTTCTTCGGATACATGGAATCCCTGGTTGCATGGGCGTGTTTCAAGAAGTCTTTGTGCCGTTTCTACCAATTGGTCATACCCATTCTGACATAGACCAAGCGTTCAGCTGCACTGCTCACCGGCTCAGGCATCATGAGGCTATAACTCTGGAAGACCTGATCACTGAACTCGGGAAGGCATATAACCCTCCCCCTCACGTTGCTGATCTTCTCCAGATTATAAACTTCTCTGGGCTGTGTGACCAAGAAAGGTGTTTGGAAAAGCCTCCACGGTTTTCCCATTTTCGATATTTCAAGTTTCACCGTGTGGAGGGGATCCCAGAGTATCGTGGTAATTCTTTTAACACTGCATGTTCCGCGCGGGTTGGGTGTAACGACGATTGGGGCTCTCTCAAGGTCGAGCAGTGCACCGGAGGCTTCCTGAAATTTGCACCTGACCTTGCCAAAACACCACCGACCGAAGCCACATGTCCTAACGGTCTTGATAAAATCAACACCCGGCTTGTGTCTGAGGAGACACGAGTGAATGACAGGAGAAAGTTAGCCCAGCTACGGCTTCTACGCGACCGCGTGTATGAATCAAGACTGGAGAGATTCCACTGGAATCTGCGCGACGTATTTGAGATGAAGGGAAAGTATAGAACAGTTACTGATGCGGTTGATGGCTTGCAAGACGAAATTGAATTGAACATGATGAAGTTGAAATCGAGATGGCAGAACAACCCCTGCAAGACCTCGAATACTAATGTAATGACTTCGTAGCAGTACGCGGTTCTTCTTGCTCTATAGAAACCGTCCCGTTCTGGGTCGGGCGTGTCATATCAATTCACAATGACGATGAAGGCGTAACTACGGATCTCACCATCCATTGGTGGGAAGGGTACAATGGTAAATGTGCCTGGACAGGTAAGTATGGACCCTCTAGGTTACATGACAATAGAAAACCGTGGACAGAGTTTATCAGTGTCGCAACTGTTTTGTCTAGGTTTTCGGAGTTGAAGAAATCGAAAGAGACCAGCGCAGCAGCGGCCAGGCAAATTAGGCAGGCTCTTGGAGTTGCGTGATATGCTGGGTGGCCTCCGCTACTCGGTGGTCTGCTTGACGCAGTCAGATACGGTAGTGAGGGTGCAATGCCCTGGTAAACTTTAGAGTTTCCGAATTAGCCCTCAACGCCTCTAAACCAGCGCGAAGCGTGGCGAGACGACGAGTAATATTTGTGGAGCGCGTTTTCGTTTGTGCGATATCTGACTCAAAACTGTTGCCTTTCGATAGTAATTGAGTCCCCTTTATCCGTTGCTCTCGCAAGTGTCTCTCAACTGCAAACAGATCGGTCTGGAAGTTCTGTGGAAGCTGCCATACACGAGTGTGCAAGTTAATTTCGGAGGTCTGGGATTATGGCTGTTGGGGCTTCTGTTGTTGAGGGGCTGCACCGAACAGGGACGGAGGATTCTGTGATTGCGCACCGAACAATGAGGCCCTCTGCGCTGGTGCACCAAAGAGAGAAGGAGAGGACCCAGGCCCGCCGAATGAAGCTGCCTTGGTCTGTGCCTGAGCACCGGAGCAGCGTTTTGGACGGTACCAGGAAAAAAGCTTTGAGCCGGCCCGCCAAACGTGGGTGCAGCAGTACCAAAGGCCGGTTGCGACGCACCCTGGGTTTGACCAAAGATATTCATATCAGATGAGCCTACAGCAGTAACTGGCAAAAGAGCATCTGACTGCCTCCAGTCTCTCTACTGTAATATATATGCCACAAATGCGCATTACCATAGATATTTCTCCAGCGCACACCCCACCATACTGCAACGTTAGTTTTTTGAGGCCCGACATGTAGTTCGTTGATGTGAGCAAGTAGCGAAGGTTCCTTCGAGGCAGACATAACTTTTATTTCTCTCCAACCTTTCCTAGATCTACGAAATGCACATATTAAGCCGGAACAAATTACCAATATGTATTACCACGAAGCCACACTCCCTTGATGATATTGACCACCTTATCAATTGACTTGGCAGTGGCTGGATGATCACCAGTAACCATGACAACTTTAACACTGGCGCTCTGGCACGTGGCGACAGCGTTCGGTACAGCCTCAAGAGGGGGGTCCAGAAGAGCCATCAAGCCGACAAATACCAAACCTTCCATGAGGAAGTTGATCTCCTCCACATCAAACTCGAACGTAAAGGGAACTCGGCCGGGTCAAGATCCATCTTGGCGAATCCTAAGCGGCGCTCTCCTCTTTCCATCATGAAAGCGAGCTGCTCCTTGATAACAGCCTTGGCATCAGCATCGAAATGCATCACACCCTCCTTCTTGAGGACGCTTGTGCACCTCTCCATGACATGTTCAGGAGCCCCTTCATGCACAAACGGAGGCGATCTCCCCCATCCGCAACTTTGTTGATTGTGATCATGAATTTGTTCGCAAAGTTGAAAGGAATGGTCGAAACCTGAGTGTTGTGAGCACGGATTGCACTGACAGACGTGATCTTCTCCGAAAACTTGAGAATACCAGCCTCTGAAGCATCACCGTTGACCTTGCGTTCGTCAATTGACTTCTCCGGGGTATCACCAAGATGTTTAGCATCGAACATGGCCTTCGCGCAGTTCGCACCGATGCATAACAGCTCCTTCACGCACGAAACCTGAGTGTCAAACGTGGCTTCAGTCGCGGCCGTCTTCGTGGTGTACAGCGCATTGTTGTACGCGAGATGGACAATAGTCTTTTGGTTCTGGGTAAGATTGCCTGTCTTGTCTGAGCAAATGCAAGTAGTGGATCCGAGCGTCTCGACAGCCTCCAGCTTCTTCACGAGCACTTGTTTCTTGGCCATACGCTTCGCGGACAATTTGAGGAAGACAGTCACAGTAGGAAGAAGACCTTCGGGGACATTTGGGACAATGATACCAATGCAGAACACAGTGTTGGTGATAACTTCAGTTCCCTTGATGAGACCGATGATGAAAAACAGAATTCTGTTTTTCATCATCCGTCTCATCGTCGCAATCTCGCCCGGTGTTAACACCGGGCGAGATTGCGACAGAAGAAATGATGATAACGAAATGATGAATATCGAGCTGCAGGGTAGTGACCTCCGAGCTAGACCCAGCAGCGAGACCAGGAATGCGACCGAATACAGTACCATCACCAGTGTTGACAACAATACCAACGCAAGTTCCATCGACAGCCAATGTACCAAAGAAGGCGAGATTATTGGTCTTGAGGGGATTCTCATCAGTTCAATCAACGGTACGGCCGATGGGTTCGGACGCCCCAGTGAAGGGGGAGTTGTCCACCTTCAGCTCCTGATTTTCTGTCAGACGAATATCGGCTGGGAGTTTACCTCTCAATTTGACTTGGGCTTAGAGTTGGCGACGCGGGGGGGTGGACGTGACGATACGGGTCATCGTAGTGGGTCGGGGAGGCTTGAAGTGGGCCACAATCGCCAACTTCGAGCAAGTCCAGACATAATTTATGATTAAATTCTGTCGGTAGATTGTGAACAAGTTGTGATGCCAAGAACTGGTCGGATGCCTCCGACCACGGATCGTGGCGGAGGCGACGGCGCCTTTATGTCCTACTGAGTAGATAGCGCCTTATTGGCATTGTCCTATTTGTACTGTGTCTTATCTGGATGGAACCAGGTGTTTTTTCTCTTGGTGGCGCATTGGCCGACCGTCGAACTTGGTTCTGGATGGAACCACACTCCCCCCGACGCGAGGGTATCGTGTCCTGTATTTCTCTTACGGCGATGTTCTTGTTGTGTGCGCGGTAGAGTGTTGTTTTGAGGGATTTGGTGAGGATGTCGGTGTATTGTTCGATGGATGGTGTCCGCCGGATGTTCAATCTTCCCTGTTGTTCTGTGTCGTGGAGATAGTGATATCTCACGTCGATGCACTTCCTCCTTTTCGTCGCGCCCATGCTCTTCGACATTTGCAACGCTGCTGTGTTGTCCACATGCAGGGTGCGCGTGCTGGTGGCGAGTTGTATTTCGCGGATGAGGTTGTGTAGCCAGAGTGTGAGGGCCGTTGTTTCGGATGCGGCGACATACTGCGCCTCGCAAGTGCTTTTTGCGACGACGGGTTGTTGCTTCGCAAGCCACTGTACTGGTGCTCCGTTGATGAGCGTTACCATGCCGCTGATTGATTTTCGGCTTGTGGCGTCGTTCACATAGTAGGCGTCCGAGTATGCGCAGATGGTGATTTCGCGGTTTTTTCCCGCTGGCATGAGAATGCCTTCGTCCCGAGTACTGTGGAGGTACTATGCGAGTCGTTGCAGCAGATTCCAATGGCGCTGTGTCGGTTTCTTGAGCGCGCGTGCGAGCGCGGTTGCTGCGAATGCTATCATAGCATGACATGATTTCCGGGCGCGCGCTGTCCGCTATGTATCTTATTGTGCCAACTGCTTTGCCATATATCGTCGCAATGTCAGCTCGCTTTTCCTCTTCGTCGGTGGGCGGATCTATTTTTATGCCTTCCAGATATGGGGTGGTCCTCTTGTTGCACCCTGTCTACGCGAGGAGTGTGACCACGCCATCGATGTGGGACGGTTGGGAGATGTGTATTCCCTGAGGTGCGTACCTGATTTTCCAGTTGAGGTACGAGGTCGGGCGTCCCATCCTTTTCACTGTATACTTTTTTTGGAGTGTGTGGTACAGTGAGTCACTCATGGATTTTGTGGTGGCGATTGGTAAAAAATCGTCCATGCTTATGCCAACTATCAGCGTGTCCTTCCCTTCTGTTTTCGTGAAGAGGGACGTGTCTGAGCGCATTTGTTTGTACCAGTGACTCTTGAGGTGTGCGTGCAGTTTGGTGCTGTAAATGTTGGCGGCGGCCAGTGTGCCGTATACGTTTCCTTTTAGTTGCCCGTGCGTGGCTGCGTGCTTGAAAGATCCGTCGAACCGCCTTGGTTGCCATACGAACACTTTCCTTTTGTGTTGGTATGCCTCGTGGAGGTACGGTCCAGATATGTCGAAATGCTCGATCTCCATGTTGCAGGACGCCGCGATGGTGAAAAGGGTGCGGATCGTGCTTCTGTCGGCCATGTACGTCGCTGTCTTCTCCGGATTGTAATGAGTGTGTGGCGTCATTCTGTCTTCGCGGATCGAGCACCTTGCTTTGTGTTTGGTGCCTGTGTGATCGCTCTTGTAACGATATGTCATCGTCGTCGGGATGATGTCCCGTCTGTTAGTACTGTCTGTCTGCTCTCGCCAGTCAATTGCCTTCATCTCGTCAAGCTGGTCGAGTTCGGTGTCGTGTGCGTCTGCCATTTTTTTTAGCGTCTTGGTATTGGCGCGCTTGCTTGAGAGTTTTAAGGGGGCGGTAGTGTTGGTGACAGTCTTCGGGATGTGTGCTGTTCTTTGCGATTTTTTCTTCGGCGTGCTCTGTGTTCTGTACACTGCCGTGGTGCTTTCGCAGGGGTCTTGCTGCCTGTGGTAGGCTCTGAAGTCCGCTGCTCGCATTTTGCTGTACCTTCGGGTTTCAAGGTTTTGGACACAGATATGGGTCTCGTCCATTGCGTACATGTATCTCACTTGTGATGCCTTGCTGTGGAGTTTTGGCATGTTGGGTTTGAGAATGGGGGTATATCCCAGTTGTCGGAACGCTATAATTTTTTGAGCTGTGGCAATTGCTGATACCACAGCGTGTGAGGGATTCCTTTAACCCCGTGGTGGTAAGTTATGTTGTATTTAAATACAGCATCGCTCATGGCGTCTTGCCAGTACACGTCGTGGAGTTTGCTGTGTGCGAGCGTGGCTCTCACTTTATCCATGAGTGTGCGATTTATGCGCTCGGCAAGGGCGTTTTCCTGCGGCGTGTATGGCGTTGTCGGTCGGTATTGGATTCCTCTGTGTTCGAGCTGCTTCTGTACTTGTTTGGCGAGGTACTCTTTCGCGTTGTCTGTCACGAGGAGTTTCGGCTGCTCTCCATTTTCCGTTGCCATCCTATCGATGGCTTGGATGATTGTGTGTGGCACATGTGCCCTGTTGTGGAGGCAGAACACCCATATATATCTCGTGTTTGCATCGATGACAGTGAAGAAGTAGCGACAGTTATGTTGCGACGGGGGGTGTATTGGGCCGCAGACATCCGAGGAGAAACTCTCTCCTCTTTCTGCGTGGTGTGCGGTGCGTTTTTGTGGCCTCGTGGCCGTTTTGCCGTGTATGCACCCGGTGCATGTCATTTGTGCACTGGTGTCTGGTAGGCCTTTTGGAATTCCAGGGAGTAATTGGTGTCGTGACATGTGAGCTATGGTCTTTGGGTTGGCGTGGTTGAGGCGGATGTGTCATTCAGCCATTTGCTGTGCTGCAGCTATGGGGATTTGTTGTCTCGACGGCGTGGTGGGTGTGTTTTGCAGTGTCGGTGTTTGTCGTCGCGTTGTGTTGAAGGGAATTTGATCACTGCGTCGCCGTGTCATGGGGGGTGTGATTGGGGGTGCCTGCATTTTTTTGGGTGATGGTTTGGCACGGGTTTTGCTGGTCGTTGTTTTACGGTTGTATGTCCTTGCTCCTTTGGCTGTTTCTTGTTGTTGGAGGCGGTACTGACCGTTTTGGAAATGTGCGGTGAGTTGTTCTGGTGGCAAGCGCGTCGGTTTATGCAGTATTGCTTGGGTTCTGGAGAACGTCACGTGTCTGTGTGCTGCCATGTCGTGTACCGATAGAAAATTTTCCTTGATGCTCTGAGCGTGCACGACTGGTACTCGTACGCTATTCCTCTTCTGTGTGGTCTTGATTGTGCCAGTGTGTGTGATCGGGACGCGTTGGCCGGTTGCCGTGGTTGTTAGTGTACCGTTGTTGGGTCTCATACGCGCGTAGGGTGTAGCGGTATGAGTTGGATTTGCTCCAGAGTCGATGATGTGGTTTTGCGTACCTTCGCTCGTGTCGTCCCGTGTTTGCAATTGTTCTTCGATCACGTGTAAACGATCATGCCACTGGTGCATGATGTTTGTTTCGTTAGTCTCTGTGTCGCCGTTGTTGTGCGCTGCTTGCGCTTGTGCGTGGGTTTGTTTCTGTTTGTACGTACGCGCGTAGCAGTTTTCTGTTTCGTGGGTGATGCTTCCGTGGATCGTGCACCATGGACCTCTGTATTCTGTAGGTTTTGTGTAGTGAGGTTTTTTGCTCACTGTTCGCCTGGGTTGCATTCTGGTTGCGCGTTTGCGCGGTGCTGGTGCGGTTTGTTGGGTGTGCATCTGGGTGTGCATTAGCTGGACTTGCTGCACATGGTTGATAAACTCTTTGATAGTGAAGGGTGGGTTTCCTGTCATGATGATAGCTAGTTGTCCCATGTCTGGTTGCGGTGCCAGGCCCTGTATCATGTACCCCACTGTGGTGCGTTCTACATAGATATTTGGGAATTGCGCTACTTGCATCCTGTATCGGATCTCTCTGTGTTTGTCAACATAGTCGTTGAGCTCCTGTCCCCGTTGGTATCTCGTGTTGCGAGCTTCTGCAACGAGGAGCTCGTGGTTCTCCGTCGACGATGTGTCCACTGTAGTCCTTATGATGTGACAGATCGTTTGAGGTTCGTAACGTACGATGTGGGGTGGCAGGATTTTGATGATTTCGTTGGTGAGACTTTGCATTATGGCTTTCCTGATCATGTCCGCTTTCTGTTGTTCTTGCGGTGCGTCCGTGTTCGGCTCTGTGGTCGTGCTCGGTGGAGTGGTGAGAAGGTGTGCTGCCTTGATCGTGCGAGCGTAGATCTCAAGGGCATCGTACCAGTAAGTGTGATTAATTGCTGTGAGGCGGGGTAGTTGTGCCGGGGCTGATACTTGTTGATCTGTCATTGTTCTGTGGATTTAGAGAGCTGGGGACGAGGGTTAGTGTGTTGCGCGGGGTGGTGTTGGTCTTGTGCGTTTGTCGCAGTTGGGATTGGGTATCTTATGCTGCGGATCGATAGTCAGTGGTAGTGTGGGGGGCCCATAACCTGCGATGCCAAGAACTGGTCCGATGCCTCCGACCACGGATCGTGGCGGAGGCGACGGCGCCTTTATTTCCTACTGAGTAGATAACGCCTTATTGGCATTGTCCTATTTCTACTGTGTCTTATCTGGATGGAACCACACAGGTATCAAACGTTTATATAACATAAATTGTACTGCAATTTCCAAGTAAAATTGTATGATAATTTTTTTGATTTGGCCTACACAAAACCCCCCCATCCCCCAGATTTAGAAAGTACATGTTGGACGATAACTTCTAAACTATTCTGGTTTGTCCACTTCTGTTTTCTGCAT